ATAAAATTTTTTTGTTTCTTTTTTCAAAGAAAATATCTTTTCTAGAAGCACCTCATTCAAATTCTTTTCTTTATTATTTAAAGTGATGATTGATAATTATTCAATAGATTAATCATAAAGCCAAGATTATGGATTCTTTTGTAAATTATTAAGGGCTTACTAAATAAATATAATCTAAAATTCTTTCCTAAAAAAAATATAAATTTAGAAGTAAAATAGGTTTATTTTAAATAAAAAAATATCAGGTTTAAGCGTTTTATTATTTAAAATATTTTTATTAATCATTATCAAACTTATTTTCGTCAATAATGGGAGAAAATATAATTAGATTCAATGAACTAAAGAATATTTAAATATAAATTTATACTTTAACATTTCAAAGTTGTAAAAGAAGACACAATCCAAAGAAAAGTTCAATTTCAAGATCATCAAACCCTTGTTTACTTTTATCAATTCGCCAAAAAACTAATTGATAAAAATCTGGATCAACCTATGGAAGAAACCTGCTATTCTAATGGCCCTCATCTTTGGTTATAATTCATATATCGAAATCCAGAATTTATAAATGAATATTAAGAAATCGAATCCTTTGTAGAAGACATTCAGAAAGGAGTTGAATACTTGGATAAAGAAGAAGAAAGATCTGAAAAAATCTTAAGAAAAACAAACTACCTAATGATATGAAGAATCCCTGGGTATTAATATTTTTAAGTATGGAAACACCAATGGAGAAAGTGCATTACACATGGTATACTTATGACAAAAGAGCACATTCTAGACCATCTTGAAAGTTTCCATTAAGACTTCCCCAAAAGGTTAAAAAATATTATTGATTATACTAATAATGAAAAAGGTTCTCTAATAAAGAGAGTTTAAAAATCAATAACTGATTAGATGAAAGACATTTCACAAGTTATCCAAAAGATAATAGATCAATATTGTGAAAAATATAAAAGAAAACCCCCCCTGGTTCCAGTTTGAAAATGAATGCATATTATAAATAAATAAATAAATTTCTAAGTTAACTTTCAACTTATGAATGTTTTCCAGATTATGTATTATACCCATAGATGAGGGAAAAATTTCTATTTTTTAATTCCTCTACATATTCCTTCTCTTGTTTTTAGTTTCCTTAGACCCTATCATAGATTTTTAAGATTTATTAACCAAATTTTTAATACTAACTTTAAGTGTTAAGTTTATTACTATAATTTACTTAGATTATAAGATTAATCAATTTCTATTTGGTTATTTCATTAGTGGGATTCTTATTATAAAAAAGCTAAATTAATTTAGTTCTCGATTATATTAAATTGATGTAGGTATTACAATTATTCAATAACTGCTTGTTTTAAGTTTAATTTCTTCTTCTTCTCTCAAAAATTCTTAAATTTACATGAATATAATTAAATCATATTTTCCCAAATTTAAAATTTTTATGTATACGAATATTATAAACAAATCATTATTTACAAATCCATCTAATCGAATTGAATAACATCCTAATAAAATTTTTAAGTTCCTTCTGAAGCCAAAAAAATAAAAACTTCAGATGTCCAAAAATGTATTTTTATAAATAATTAATACAAGTGAGCATTATTCCAGATAAAAGGAAAATTTTTCAGAAGAAGAATTGCTAATTTAAAGAATAGTCTAGAGCTGGTTTGAAGTGTTCGCCATGAACCTCAAGAATAACCTGGCAATACCATACTAGTATGAGTGTAAAATGGACAAAAAATAAGGTGTTATAGGCTCCATTAATAAATAATCTAAATGTGGTTTTTTCTGAATTGGATGAGCTAAATGGTTTAAATTATTTAAAAAGAAAGATTTTGATACAATAATAATTAATCAAGAATAAGCTGTCCATCACTATAAAAACTCAATATTTAGATTTTCCTATATAGTAATATTTAAGATGTAGTATATGACTGTTAGAAATTCCCAATCTAAATGTTCGATGAGGGTAAATTTTTTCTGTTTAAGAGATTAAAGATAAGTCTTATTTTAATTATTTTATTTTTGGGGATGAGAAGATAGATAATTGTAGACTTATGATTAATCATAAGAGTATATAAAGACTATATTTGAGAAACTAGAGCGATAGTTATCTGCAGAAGGTGAGTTGAATGTATTCAAATTAAACTAGCAAGATAACAAGGAAAGATTCTTAAGTTGAATTAAATTTCTACCAAACAAAAGATAAAATTCTAAACTTTATTAAGAAAATTTGAAATAGCATGAAGATCTCTTGAATTAACTGAGAGAAAAATAATATCATTTGTTAAAAAACCAGAGAGTGCTCTAAATTAATCTAAACTTTTGATATGTTAGTAAGGTTTTATTTAATCATTTAATTTTTGTATGCTCTATTTAACATTAAGTTTTCTTGAGCATTTGTGAACAACAATAAAAAAATATTAATTGCAGATAAAATAAAAAAATATAATAGAATAAAAGAATTCTTATTGATTAAGAAATAATTCTGAAATAAACTGTATAACCAGATTTGGTTTTATCATAAGGTTTAGAAGCGAAGAGACTAATTAAGCGAGTCTTATATGGTAAAATTAGGAGCTAGAATCTTTGTTTATATTATAATCTAATATATTAAAGTAAGTATTGCTTCAGTAATATTGAATGCAAATTTGTCCTAAATTAGAGGGATGATTAAAAGATATGGATGTATGATTTAACAATTTTGTAAAAACATCCGATAAAATAAACAGATAATTAGTGCCATAATATAACGGTAGTTTGTTTATTTTCCAACTATCATAAGGCAAGCATTGTTTTTTCTTAAACCTGTAATACAATATTTTTGAAATATATTAATTAGCATTTCCATACCAATTCAACTTCAGAATTAAAATTATTATTAAAAATTAAACTTAATTGCAAAGTAATAATAATTTAATGATATTACAAATTCACATCCACTCCATGTATGCCAATATGATGCACTCAGTCATCTAAATATATAAGAGAATATTTATCTATCATAAATAAAGTTTAAATAGTATGTGATTTGTAAAGAATAACTGGATAAATATTAAGATATATAAAAAATAATTAGTTTTCTGTATTTTAAATGCTGTAACTTAATATTGTTTAACTTTCAACTGTTTAATTTCCTAACATTTAAAGAAGTATGAAACAAAATGAGTGATTGAGATGTCAAAATATTGAATATGATATTAATGTATTTTCAATCTGTATATTTATAAATACTCATTTTTTATTTATAGCTTTTAAACATTCATCTAAATATTTTATATAGATAATACCTTTTCTGTCTCTAGTCCATTAATGATTTGAATTGATCATTAATGCTTTTTCATAAAATATTAAAGCTTCTTAATATTAATTCTAATCTTGTAAACATATACCTATAAATTAAAAAGATACTTTCACCTTTTGCCCACAATGAATCAAAGTGATTTGGATTAATTTATAGAGATTACTCAATCACTTCCATAGATTATTTAAACATTTTCAATTATCTTAATGAATTACCTTCAAATTAAAAATAATTAGTACTTTTGGTACATAAAGAGAGACAATCTTTTGGATCTACTTACAATGCTTTATCTGCCCAAATGATTGCTTCATTGTATTAACCAAGCATCCTTAAACTCTGCGCTAACACATTAAATAATAATCATACCTTTACAATATAATGAATTACAATTTTTTGGATCTACTTACAATGCTTTATCTGCCCAAATGATTGCTTCATTGTATTAACCAAGCATCCTTAAACTCTCCGCTAACACATTGAATAATAATCATACCTTTACACCATAATGAAAGAGAATGTTTTGGATTAAAATTTAATGATTAATCAAATATTTTAATTGCCTCTTTAAAATTTTTATCATCCCAATATAGTTTATAACCTAATTTAATAGATTTATTACCTTTTTTATATAATTCTTCTGATTTATTAATATCTAAATTAGATATTTGATAATAATTTAATTCAGTTAATTTTAAATCAGATAATAATTTTACAATTGAATCTTGAAAATCTTATATTGATTATTTGATTAATATTAAGTTTGTTTATTCAAATGATTTGAATTAAATACTTTGTGCAAAGAAAGAATTCATTTATTTAGAATCTAAGTTAAGGAATTATTGTTTAGATTTCTGATATTTTGATCTAATTCCTCCAATCAATAAATAGAATTATTAATAAGCCATATCCATTTATTTATTCAAATCTATAATTAAGTCTTCACATAATTTTCAATATTTAAAATATGATCAAACAAAAATGGTAAATCTTATTAATGTTAAACATGAGAAACATGAATTCCATTTTATATACATTAAATGCATTATAATCTATCTGCTTTACAAGATTCATTAAAACATACTAATTTTACATTATTGACATGTTCTGAATTTGGGCATTTGATATTAGTATCATTCTTTTCATTCATAATTAATATTAATATTAAATCTTTTTTCTAATTCTATTAAAATTATATATAAACTCATTATTATTAAATTATAAATTTCTATTAATACATTAATATAT